CATTTATAAAATTTTTAAAGGATATTCTTCACATAATGGTGATCTCATTTGTTTTATGGCTCTTGAATAATTTTTAAATTGTTGTGACGGACAGGATAGCTCTTCTGTCTCAAAAGTTTGCCATCCCCTGGGCTAGAGTGTTTGACAGTGGAGATGAAAAGAAAAGAAGAGCTTCAAGAGTAAACTTTGTGGTTGATTTCAGGATATGGTGATGGTGAAGGGAAGGCCAGTTTGTCAAAAAATAATGTCATAAAATGGACCCACGTTTCTGGGATGAGTAAGTTGGTAGGAGTGTAATTTATTAAGATAGTAAATGCAAAAGAAGAACAGATCTGAGGTATGCGGGGAAAAGGTTGATGAAAGGTCTCCAAAACTGAACTATTGATAAGTTTGAAATGCCTATGAAACAAGGTAAAGATCTCAAGCAGACTGTAGTATATATAGATCTAGTGTTAAAAACTGTAGCCTGGTAGGAAATACAAGCTTGAGAGTCAGGCGATGACACAGGTGCATATGAGTTGAACAGATCACCTTCACTTCCAGGAGAAGAGTAGAAGGAAAAGGTAAGGACTCAGGAAGCAGTCTGGCAGAGGAGATGAAGGTAGAAAAGGTGACAGAGGAAACCAGAAGTAGAGAGACTGGTGTTGAAAACAAACCAAAAATCCAAGGCGGCATAGCATATAAATCAAAGGGGGAATCTGAAAGTTTAAAAAAAACATTCTAATATCCTTACACTATCAGGAAGATATTAAACATATAGATTAACATTAGATGTTAAGTATGCATGTTAAAAATATGCAGATAACTAAAGAGAAAAATATTGTATGTAATTTCTAAACTAATAGAGAGAAAATGGGATAAATATATAAAATGCAATTAGTCAAACAGAAAGCAATAAGAGGAGAAAAAAGAAACAGGAAATTAGGACATGTAGAACACACTAATTTAGATGATTGATAGAATCCAAATACTCTGTGTATAGCAATATTCACAATAAATGGACTCAATTCTCCAGTTAAAAGCCAAAGGCTTTCACTGGATAATACAACAAAATCCAACTATATATTATTTATAAAGGACATTTAAAATTTAAGACACAGAAAGGACAAATAAATAAGGATGCAAAAAGATAATACAGGCAAATACCAGCAAAAGTAAGTTAGATACTTATATTAATATCATACAAATTGGACTTTAATTTAATGCTTTTTCCTTTACTGAATATTAAATAAAGTCACTACATAGTGACAAAGGTTTAAAAAACAGCTCTATGATGTAACCATTCTAAATGGAATAACATAGCCTAATAACCTAATTTCAAAACATATAAGCAAAAATAACAAAACTGTAAGAAACAAACCCATCATTACAGTGAGACTAAAAAACTTAAAAATAAAGCTTTTAGTAACATAATTAATAAGCTTGATCTAACCGACACATAAAAAATACCACATCCAGTGACTGAAGAACACATTCTTTTTATGAGAATTTGAAACACTTGGAAAAGCTGAACACGTAAGACGCTACAGAGTTTAAGTCTCAGGAGTGCCCAAGGACTGATCACCAACAACATCATCTGAACAGAAGGCAATTATGTTAAAAACCAACAACAAAAAAACAACTAGAAAACACTTCTTTAAAAGAAAAACTTCAATGTTAAAAAAAATAATCACAATAGAAATTCAAACAGAAAATATTTTAAGAAAAAAGAAACAAAACTTACTTCTGAAACCTGCAGAAGACATCTAAAGAGATGCTTAGTAGGAGATTTATAGCTTAAATGCTCAAATTAGAGAGAATAAAGAAAAAAGATTAATAAGCTAAATGTTCAAGGAGTTTGGAAAAATGCAAAATAAAGATAAAATACAAGGAAGGAAATTAAAGATAATAGCAGAAACTAATAAAGTAAATGTTTTCTTCTCATTAGATGCAGAAAAAGAGATTTTGACATCTCTTCTGATTATATTTTACTTATTAATTTTAGCTATACAAGGGAACTAGAAAGAATTTTACAAAAAGTTTCTGTGAAAAACCCCACAAACAGCATACATTATACTCAGTGCGTTCATTTTACGATGTGAAGCAAGAAAGCAGCCTTGCTCCCGGCCACTTCATTCATATTGTCCTGGGGGTACTAACTGGAGCATTAAAGAAAAATCAAAGAAACAGAAGTTATAAGGAGGCATCAGAAAGAAAGAC